ATCAAACCAAAATATATACATATACAATAAAGTAAAAAAAAAAAAAAAAAAAAAAAAAAAGAAGAAGAAGAAGTAAAAAATGAATAAATAAAAACCCATAATAGAATAATAGAAATGACAAGATAAGAGTACGTGTTAAGCCAACCGCAACATGAAGCTTATCCCGTGCTGCCATTATCATAAAATGACAATGGTGATGCGGAAAATGTATACAAATAATGATGGCAAATGTGTTCAACGCGATAAGAATGATGTAGTTACGGGAGAGAGAGGAAGGGAAGGGATGGGAAGGGAAGGGAAGGGATGGGAAGGGAAGGGAAGGGAAGGGAAGGGATGGGAAGGGATGGGATGGGATGGGATGGGAGGGGAGGGGAGGGGAGGGGAGGGGAGGGGAGGGGAGGGGAGGGGAGGGGAGGGGAGGGGAGGAGAGGGGAGGAGAGGGGAGGGGAATGGAAGGGAAGGGAAAGGCAGATAAAAGGGAAGAGGGGGAAGGATCGCATATACATACATATAAAGATGCGCACACACACACACACACACACACAGAGAGAGAGAGAGAGAGAGAGAGAGAGAGAGAGAGAGAGAGAGAGAGAGAGAGAGAGAGAGAGAGAGAGAGAGAGAGAGAGGAAGGCAACACAGCAGAACATGTCCACACCAAATCAAACTCAATAGAAAAGGAAAGGAAGAAAGAAAGGCAGAGATGAAAAGGGAGGAGAGAGAGAAAAGGGCCGTCGGCACTGAGCATGCAAAGGCCCTATTTCTGAAGCCCGAATGACGACCGCCAATTACTCCACATTACACTACACTTGTTTAACGCTAATGACCCCCTCTCTTCCCCTCCCCCTCCCCCTTTCCCCTTTCCCCTCCCCCTTTCCCCTCCTCCTCCCCCTTCCCTGCTCAACCCCTTGTCCTTCCATGCTCTCTCCCTCTCTACTGTCCTCTCTCCCATTTACCTTCCTTTTCTTTTATTTCTCCCTCCTCTGGCCTTTCTACCACTTCCTTTCCATTCTCCTCCCTGCTGTCTTCTCTCCCTCTCCCCTTCCCCTGCCATTCTCTCCCCCTTTTCCTTATTTCCTCCCACTCTCCTTCCATTTCCATTTTCTCTTCATCATCTGTCCTCTCTCCTATTCCTCTTTCTCTTCCATTCTCTTCTCTTCTGTCCTCTCGCCATTCCTCTTTCCTTTCCGTTCTCTCCCTCTCCTGTCCTCTCTCCCACTCCACTGCCCTTTTCTATTCTCCTCCCTTCTTCTGTTCTCTTTCCATACTCTCCCTCTCTGTCCTCTCTCCCACTCCCCTTCCCACGCCTCTCCTCTCATGCCTCGTTCCCTCTCACTTCGCTATCTCTTTTCCCCTTCCACGCCTTTCCCTCTCTCTCTTCGTTGCTTTTTACTCCTTCACTTCACTTCTCTCCTCTCTTTCCCCTATTTCACTCCTTCTTCCTTCCTACTCTTCCACCCATTTTCAATCCTTCTTCCCTATTTCCTCCTTTCATCGCCCCTTATTTACTCCTTCTTCTTCTTACCCCCCCCCCCTTCCTCTATCAATTCCTCCTTACCCCCCCCCCCCCTCGCTCTCATTCGCCAATGACTCAAACATTCGTTCAGTTTAACCTTCACGCATTTTCTCTCTCTCTCTCTCTCTCTCTCTCTCTCTCTCTCTCTCTTCTCTCTCTCTCTCTCTCTCTCTCTCTCTCTCTCTCTCTCTCTCTCTCTCTCTCTCTCTCTCTCTCTCTCTCCTTCTTCTCCTTCTCCTTTCCCCTCTCCTTCTCCCTTCTCCTCTCCTTCTCCCTTCCCCTCTCCTCCCTCTCCCTCTCTCTCCCCCTCTCCCTCTCTCTCCCCCTCTCCGTCTCTCTCCCCCTGTCCCTCTCTCTCTCCTTCTCCCTCTCCCCCTCTCCCTCTCTCTCTCCCTCTCTCTCCCTCCTTCTCCCTCTCCCTCTCCCTCTCCCTCTCCTTCTCCCTCTCTCTCCCCTTCTCTCCCTCTCCCTCTCCCTCCCCTTCTCCCTCTCCCTCCCTCTCACCATCTGTATCTCCGGAGCGAATATCTATATTAAGGCGGATGACAAGCAAGAAAACCAACGATGCCTCTCGCGAATCTCGAACATCTCTATTTCTCTCTCTCTCTCTCTCTCTCTCTCTCTCTCTCTCTCTCTCTCTCTCTCTCTCTCTCTCTCTCTCTCTCTCTCTCTCTGTTTCTCTCTATCTCTGTTTCTCTCTATCTCTGTTTCTCTCTCTCTCTCTTTGTTTCTCTCTCTCTCTTTGTTTCTCTCTCTCTCTTTGTTTCTCTCTCTCTCTTTGTTTCTCTCTCTCTCTTTGTTTCTCTCTCTCTCTTTGTTTCTCTCTCTCTCTCTCTCTCTCTCTCTCTCTCTCTCTCTCTCTCTCTCTCTCTCTCTCTCTCTCTCTCTCTCTCTCTCTCTCTCTCTTTACTCGTGTCTCCTTTCCTTCTTTTCTTTTATACATAAAAGAATGTGCGTGACTAAAGAAGAAATATGAAAGGAAGACAAAAAAAAAAAATAGAGAGGGGGGTGGGGGGAAATGGAGCGAAGGATCAGTAGCTTCAGAGCGACAGATGCAGCATCCGCCCCCCCCCCCCCGC